TTTTTCACTTCCAGTTGGTGGTGGGGCCAAAGGGGGGGGAGTTTTTGGGGTTTCGGTTCCTTTTTTTGCCCACCCCTGGCCCCAGGGGTGTTCAGGTAGGTACGTATCCCGTGGAAGGGCAGGCCATTCAGCAGGGGGGGGGGGGGGGGGGGAGGGAGGAACGTAAGGAGTTGTTCCAAAAGATCATAAACCGGATCGCCTTCGCGAGAAATTAAGCTTGTGAGGAAGTAGAACAGGGAGGGGGTACGCAGACCCTATCCCTAACTCAACTTCCCCGAATGATTGCATGCTTTATCCAACATGTTTGTTTGATCGAAAATCCCGCGAAGGCTACCGTATAAACCTGGCACGGAAAAAAATACAGCCACCCCCCTCTGGTCGTGATTTTCGGCAGCCTAGCGGCCAGGCGACCGACCGGGAGGCCGGCTGGGCAAATAACCTGTGTTGTCAGCCACTATTTACACATACATGGCGCTACTGACTGATTCGATGTCCCTTACTCCCCACGATTTATCTACGCCATGAACGCACGAGGGCGCCGGCAAGACCCGGAAAGATGCCCCCCGACGGGACCGACCAAAAGAGGACGACCAGCTTCTGGTTCATTTCTAGCGAATCCCCGGAGGGCATATCGCCCCGTCCCGGCATTGTAGGGATGCGAGGTCAATGGCCTGACGACCACGGCATGCCCTTACATGAGTACACCCCCCTCAACGGGACCAACCCCAACCCCTCCGGGTGCTTCCTCCCTTCCTTTCCACTCCTACTGCTGTACCTGTGCACGATGTCCTGAGAGTGGAGGTATTCGACGGCGGTGAGAACTCGGAACAGGAGCTCCTGCGCGAGGTCTTCGGCGTAGACGCCCTTCTCCACGATGCGGTCGAACAGATCGCCCCCGCTGACGAGATCCATCACCAGGTACACTGCTTGATCCGTCTGGAAGAAACAGGAACAGAGGACCGGCGGGCGCAGCCACCGATGGGGTGATTTTATTGCCGGTATACGGGAATGGAGTCAAAAATGACAACACGGAAAGGTCGAAAGCCCCAGCATCGCTCTACAGTAGCTCTAGCTGCAGCTGAGGCCTGCTGCGCAGAACGCTGCCAGCGCTGGCCAAAAAGAAATGTGTCGAGCCCAGAGGGGCGTTGAACACCCCCGATAACTGTCCGAGTGGGTGTCGATGAGACAAACCAAGCAGCGCATCGCCGTCGGGACATGGACAACAGGAACCATCAGCCAGGCAGGCGGCGCGTGATTGTACTCATAAATCAGTCGATGGCCATGGGGCGCCATTGAAAACAGAAACAGCGACGCCCCCCACCTCCGTCTCTCTCCCTGCACAACACCCCTCCGTCCGCTTCATTTCTAACCTCCCTCCCTCGACCAGCAGCACCCTTCCCTTGCCTGAAAGATGTCCTCGAGCTTGATGATGTACTCGTGGTCCACGCGCTTGAGCATCTCGGCCTCCTGCACCAGCTCCTTGGGCGTCAGCCCCGGCGTCAGTGCGAACTTGCGAGTCTCGATGACCTTAACCGCAACCTCCTTCCCCGTCGTCCGGTTGATCGCCCGCCGCACCTCCCCGCTGGTCCCGTGCCCGATCATCTCTCGGACGTCGTAGAAGTCCTGGCGAGCACAGACAGCAGCACCGGGGAAGCGATCAGGTATATCATGAGCCAAAGGTAGCAGGCAAAACGATTAGAGTCCTGGGATGGGCCGCCTTGGTCGGTCGCAAACACGCCCGCGGGCAAAGCCGCCACACCAACCACTTATACTCAGATGCAAGGTTTAGCAGCGAAGGAGGACTACTGCTGTACCGGACACGCAGAGAGAGAAAATTCCGTTCTAGCACCCTAGGTGCCACCCCTCAACCGGAACACCGCTGCTGTCACGAAAACTGGAATGGCTGGAGGCATACATGAACATACTCAAGAAAGTGCTGGAGAGAAAAACAACGCGTGCGAACGACACAATCTCGGGACAAAAAAGATATTCTTGCCGGGTGTCCCGCGCGGCTGTATTTCCATCAGGTAATTACGCTTGGCTGCACCACTTGGGTCGGTTCCGTTGCATGCTCGCATCCCGCGGCTCTCTTCCGCAAAGCGTTGACGAAAATAACACACATCATCGCCAACAAGTTAGTAAAAAAAACACCTCGCCACAGAACCTCCACGGCTTGCCCCCCCCCCCCAGCCATCAACCTCATTGACACTCCCTGAGGAAGGCATACAGTATTCTGCGGAAGCTGAGCGTTGGCGCGCTAGTATGCTAGGATAAAATTCTGTGTCATCCTCGCTGCCTTCTCCTCCTCTTCCACAAACAACGCCTGCCTGCATTTCCGTCCTCACCTCCACCTTGCGAGCCCCTCCGAACATTCCCGCCACGCCACTCGCGCTACTCCGCAGCACCGGAGAGCTCACCCCCGGGACAGTGCCGGCCCGCAGCGTCTCGGCGACGGTCAGGCTCCCGGCACGCCCATGGGACGCGCCCCTATTTCTGCGGTGGTGCAAGTTGTTCCGTTTGTTGGAGATGCGGATCGATGGTGGTGGCGGATGTGTAGTGGGTGGGTCCAAGGGTTAGCCCAAGAAGGAGCAATTCGATGCCGAGGGGAGGGCGAGGGACATCAGCGGATGTTTCCAAAAACACGAATAAAAATAGCCGAAAAGCGGGGTCGATGGTGGTATTCTAGACGAATTACGCGGGTTTCGCGCGCACGCGGCAGGCTATCCCTACGCGCACTGCTGTCACGGCGACAGCACCGCCAGATATTTCGTTGCCTCGCTGGGAGTTGAAGTCGATCACCAACTCGCGTACCTCGGAACTGGCGACAACAAACAGCTCGGTTTTGCAAGGCACAATCTCGTCGAGACCATCCCCGCACAGTGGAATTTAGTGCACGCGCGTGCACAGCCGAAAATTAGCAGTCCTTACACACGTTCTGATCCAGGACCTATACCAAGAAGCTCACAGGGTAACAGCGATCAAACACTAAACATGTAATGCCCTTTACAAGAACGCCCGCCCGCCCGCGATAAACAGACTAAACGACCGCGTGAAAATCACTACCGACACCAAACCAAACCAAACCAAACCAACCCACCCGGACCGCCTCTTACGCTCACGCGCGCACACACCTGTTGAGGTTGACGAAGGTGAAGGTCGATGCCTCCAGCAGCTCCGGATCGTCTTCCTCGCGACCCGATTCCCCACCCCCCTTCTCCGCCTCACCCTTATCTTCGCCGTTCGCCACGCCGGCGGCGGCGGCAGCGGCGGCGGCCTTCTTCTTGAAGGGGTTGAGCAGTGAGATCTCGTCGCCGCTATGAAGCAACCGCCGCTGTCCCCGCACGAGCTTCATGCGTTGGTTGATCCAGGTCCCGTTTGCGCTCATGTCCTCCACGTACACCTGGGGTACCAGATTGGGGCGGCGCGGGGATGAAACGGACGGGCAGAGGGGGAGAGATAACGTTCGCGACGATGGAGAGGGGTCAAAGGACACAGTGGTGTTGGCAGCAGCGCATCATAAAACGTTTGGAAGTAGCAAAACCTCAGCACCAGCACCAGCAAGAACAGAGATTTTACTAGTACAGCATATCGTATACCGCACTTCCAGTGTACCGCACTGCCAGTATTTCAGGGTAAACAGCGAACTGACAGGGACCAGCAGATGGCTGCGGACGAGTAGAATTTCAGAACGGTAACAAATAGCTGCACCACAAAAAATGCTGACCTCCGTTCCTCCCAGATGACCCGACAGGTGCTCGCAGTAGATCCGGCAGTGCTTGCTGCTTATTCTCCGGTCCGCTACCTGGACCTCGCACATCTGGTCGAACGAGAGGCGCCCATCGAGTCAACCGAAGGGCCGATTTGAGCGAAACCACAAGCACAGCAAAAATGTACGAGTAGATCAGGTTGCATTGCATCATACAAGAGCGGCAGTTTCGAACCGCACAACAATTGCACCGCGAAACCGCGTAAATTACTTCCGCGCCTCCGCTCAAAACGCCTTCGGTGCATCGCTTCCAGCAACAGTTGCGCAAGACTGCCATGAGTACCAGCATAATGCATGCTTACACAAAAGCATAGTACAAGCTTTCACCTTGCCCCTTCCCAGCGTGACTTCGTTCAGCGCGCGACCCTGTGTTTGCTCCGGTCGCGGCATCAACGATATCGCGGGGCCCCCCGACAGCCTCATCAGCCGACCCCAAGGAACCGGCTCTGCTGCGCGATTCGAATCCTCGCCATCTTCGGCGCCAGCGTCCACCACGGGCTCCACCTGAGTGTACTCGTCCAAATCTGGGGTGGGTGGGGCGGGGCATGCGGGGCAAGCGAGAGGCGCCCGGGATTGGCTGCATGGATGCAACAACATGGTTTGTTCCCCGCCAAGGGCAGCTAATACTGCATGTAACCAACTCAGCATACAGATCATCTCGAACGCTCATCAACCCGTAAACAAGGCACCACGAAGCTCCATGACAGCGAAGCCAACAACAAGAATCGCCCATCGCAGTAACCTTCCGGAAGGAGAAAATCACACGTCAAGAGAACAGATAAGGAAGGAGGGTGTGTATGTGTGAGGTTGGTGAGGTTCTACAATTGGAATCGCCCGCGCCAACCGGCTCGCCACTGAAAAACGTGTAAGTGTGTTCGTTTCTTTTATTATTGGAATCGGCCGCCGTGCTGATCGGCTCACCATTGAAAAGGGCCAGTCTTGAGGGCGGAACAATGCAAAAAACGCAACACATGACCCGTTTTCTAGACCGCTGCCCCCCCGCGAGAGGAGGGCAAGGAGGAGGGCGGAGACTGCTGTGCTGTTTCATTATGAGCATCTACCCGACCGACGAGGAGAAACAAGTAATTCTCTAACGGCACACAAAAACCAAACACGCCTTCTAGTCGGCGTGCGAGCATCTGTTGACGAATCCACGCGGTTGTGTGTTGTTGGGAGCGAAGAGAGAGAGATATGGGTCAGACGAATTTGCGGATTCAACAACTTCAGAAGGAAGGAGGGAGAGAAAACTACACGGTTGACATGACCTGCAGCAGTGGTTTAGAAGCTGTAGGGCCGAGACCGCTGACCCTTCTCCGACGTTGAACCAGCATCAAGCGTTTGAACTGCCGGTGGACAACTTCTAGACCACGCAGGGTGAGCATGTGTCGGCCCGACTAGGGCAAACAACAGCTTGAGTCCTGCCACGCCGCTACAGCAGGGAGGCGCATCACAAACCCTAGTACCAGCCATACCCGTAGAGCTAGTTGAGCATTCTTCCAGAAATAAGCCCATGAGTGAATTATTGATGGTGAGTATCTCAGACGCAGGTCAGGCTTTACGTTGATGGATAGGAGAGATTCACTCTGTAAAGAGAGCTATGCATATGACTACGAGCAACCTCGGACAGTGTTCTGTCACCCCGCCAAAACAACCAAACTGCCATCTTTCGCATGCGCATATTTATTTCAACCTGACAGCAGGGTATTTCGGTACCTACGTGATTACAATGATCACATCGTTGTTTTCCTACGGACGCATCTTACCTAGACCACTCTCTTCCTGAGTCTGGGTAAACTCCTGCTGGCTGTCTCCTCCGGCACCGAAATCCCAGCCGCGCCCCGACATGGCTCGAAGCTCGGCCCTGTCCGCCCGCTGGATTCAAATTGTTTTCCCCTTGTTCCGAAGGCAGCGTTTGATGCCCCGGCCAGCCGACCCAGCCCAGCTGTTAACTCCCCCCCGCCGGCGCAGCTGTAAGACAGCTGTAAGACCTTGTAGAATTCCACACAGCCGCACGTAACGTAGGCACCCGGTCACTACGACGAAGCTCGCTGATGGCGGCGTGCTACCGTGCTACCCAAAGGAGAGGCAGGCTGGCCGCAACCAACCCTGGAAAATTGGGCGCCGCACAAGCGCAGACAGCTTCCGTGCGCGCGAGTGCTGACTCCCTTTCCAAGCAAACCGCTGCGGCTGTCCAAGGCTTCAGCGTGTGGGGAAACCCAAACACTGCGGTGTTGATTGCAATCTCCACTGGCGTGGGATCACAACGCCAAACTGACACACGACACAGAGCAGTCAGTGTGCTGTGCAGGGCAGAGCAGAGAGTTCGCGCCGGGGGCTCCGCGGAATCAATACAATTTGTAGCCATACCAGTCGTAGTACAGCAAGGAAACCACTACCAGAAAGACTACCCATTCGAGATATACCCACAGCAGTCGAACGGGATGTGGTGTTGTTTTGAACGCGGCTCTATTGGTGTTAAGGCCCACGGCCTGCTGTCTGCGCCAGTCTGTGGTGCTGCTCACGCCACCACCCCAACAGCAAGTTTAGAAGATGCAGTACGAGTACAATACGTCCAGTGTGGCCGCTGTTCTAGTGTGTGTGGGGCTTCCTGTGCTTTTTGGGTACCATAATCGACAAGTGGAAACTGCTCCAACGGCTCAAAGCGTGCACTGGCGAAGGAGGCTGCAACATGCAACCTGCGGTGTGGCCGTCACGTGCGGCTACAAGTGGGTCATTAGGGACGCGCGGACAGGTGATACTGAGAGGGTTCATTCAGGCTGGACACTGTTTTATAAATACGTCATGAATGACACGACGATTAAATGACATCAGCTCGAACGAATAGGAGGCAAACTCGGTGGCCATTTTTGTTGTGCACTTACGTAGATATGCAACATGTTATCCCCCAGGGCACAGCAGAAACACTACACTACAAAGCACTATTACATACTGACGTTGGGACGGTTAGCAATTCACGGCTGCTTCGCAAGTTCGATGTCACACACATATTATTTTGTCATGTGTACAACGGCTGGACGGCTCTCTCTGCGAATTCGCGTGAGTGCGGAGGAACTCTGGGGCGAATCGAATTCTGAGAGGGCTACTGCTGTAAACATCTCTTTAGTTCTACATCATACTCCATCGTATGGATGTCTGTTTCACAATACCTCTACATGTGACACCATTGCTTTGACCTTTGAACGCCAATTGCCAACAATTTTCCCCGCTTCTCGGACAACAACAGTGGTGGCGATATTAAGTATCGCCTGCGCCAGCTTCCTAGCACTGCATCGGTTGAGGCGTCGCTTGAAAAGCGTGGACAAGCTATATATCCTGCTGCTTGGACCCTTGCTCCGGCCACAGGAGATTCGCGGGCAGCTGCCAGGCGGGTTCTGGTTCGTGGTTGGATCCACCGCGGCGGTGGCGCTGTTCTCGAAAGACGTGGCCCTCCAGAGGTAGAAAGAAGAAGGGTCAAAGCTTGAGGAACAGCAGTTCCACGTCCGCCGACGGCTGCGCGATAGCTAGCTGCCTTGGGGCCGCTTAGTCTAGGTCGCGTCCTCAGTGCCCTGTGTTGCAAGTTGCGGTTGTCAATTACATTGCTTACGGGCAGCGGTGTTGTTACCTTTCGCTCGTCAAAACCGAATGGGTTCACCATGCCTTCCTTCCTTCAACCCCCTTGCCGTCGTGTTGTTGCGTACGTGTCAACCGTTCACAAGTTGCGCTCGGCCAACCTCTCGCGTAGTGCTAATCAGATGTCGTGCCATACCACTCCCTTTGGTTCTCTCTTCCTCCGTCGTTTCGACCACCCCCCTTCCCTCCGTCTCTCTCTCTCTCTCTCTCTCTCTCTCAAACACACACTCTCGAAGTCTTCTTACTTCTCTATTTCTCCCCCCCCCGTTTTCCACTCCACTCGGGCCGACGTGTGTGCACGCCTCCCAAAAGCATTCTTCACCTCTCGTTGGGAGATCCTGTTGCTTCGGTGGTGGGCATAAAGAAGGGCGAGGGAAACCGAATACTGCCGGGAGGGAAATCCTTGGCGGTGAGACACGCCGCGGTGTGTATACGGGTAGGGATACTTATAGCCGCTGGCCGGACCAATGTCCATCCTACCGAATGTTGGCCGCAAGCCAGCTTGATTCACCTGTCGGCCATTCTAAGCCCCGACCACGGGGGATGTTCGTGAACTACCCGTAGGTTTCCGGTCTGTTTTCTCGATGTACAGTTTCAACTCACTGATGTTGCCACGAGTAACGTTGTTGATGCAGCTGCGCCCGCCCTCCGCACCTCTCACGCTCCGTCCGCGTCAATATTCCATCATTGCACGGGCTATTCGGGAACGACATCAACCAATTCGTGCCAAAAGGGGTCCTTAGCTGCATTCCTGGCGTGCTCGCTGTCGACCCTGCTGCTCTTCGGGTGCTGCTGTCGCCCACCTGGCGACGAGGGGCGTGATTCCGACCACGTTGGCGACAGCGATCTTCTCAGCAGTTTGATCTTCGGCCACTTCAGCGCGTGTACTGCCGTTGGGCGGGGCGGTCGAGATAGCGGTGGTAGTGGGACGCCGCTGTTGCTGTGGTTTGCGTTGTTGGGCGGAGTGAGCGGGGCCGTCGGAGAGCTTCTCCCCCTAGGGGTGGACGACAACCTTTCCATGCCAATAGTATCAGGGCTGACGTTCCTCGCGTTGAGAAAGTGTAGTACCTTCGATGGACCGGGATAATCACAGGGGACATGTAAGAATCGCGTGGGTTTGATGACGGCAACTTCTTCCGTGGTGAACAGCCGTCAACTTTGCTCTGTGATTGTATGACGACAGTCCTTCCAGTGGTGTAGCGCCACCAACTTTGCTGGGCGGGGCTGAGAGTGCCGCACGCAGACCACCCTGAGGTGCACACACGAGGGGTGCTGGGTTCCGCATCTAGCTGGATTCAGACGTTTTGGTGGGAGTAGGAATCAGCCGGGGCGCGTTGTGTAGGTGCTGCCGTCCGGAGTGTCACTGACGTGCTGATCTCACCGAGTCAGCACAAATCGAAAGGCTGCCTAGAGGTTGACGGTCACTCGCCCGCAAGCTGGAGTTTTCAGAGCAAAGCTACTACTTCGGACGGAGGCAGAATCTTACGGGCCTCTGTGTCTCACTCGGTCGTGGTTACGAGCTTACGTTGCGAGCTTATGACCGCCTGACCTATCTCGTTGCGCCACCCGGGAGTTGGTGAAACGGAGATCGCTACTTTCAATTGAATGTGTGATGAGTGACTCATGAGATACAACTCATGCACGCGTACCCTATGCGTTCTTATTGGTGTGCGTGTATCAAACAAGACGAGACAGAAGAGCCCGGCGGTCTCTACGGTACTCCCCCCTCCCTCCTCCGCCCGCGCGCTCCCGCCTTTCCCCGCCGAATGCCGGGGGGCGCGAACACGCAAGGCACCGGCAACCTTTCATTCCACTCCTAGTAGTACAGAACAAACACGATGATTGTGGTCGTGGCGGGCCAAACACGGGGGCAAAAACGGCTGCCACGCAAACAGGAGACGTTGGCGTCGTATCGAAGCATCGCTAGCTCTCTCGGTGGTTACACCCCGCAGGGAGTACCGGTGGTGGTGATGCCACCGTCGAGGAGGAGCATCTGCCCGCACATTTGGATGGAGGACGGGCTGACAAGGTACACCACGCCGTGTGCCATCTCCCAGGGCTCCGCAAAACGGCCGAGAGGGGTGCGGTCCACCATGGGGTCGCCCTTCTCCGGCTTGCTGTCGGGGTTAGGACAAGAGGAGGGCGTTGGTCGGAACGAACAGGCGCGATCAGGACACAAGGATCATCAGGGTGAGGAGTTACGGTTTTCCGCGACATTTTTACTTCTGTAACACAAGAACAGCGTTCTTGCTAATGCGAGCAAAATAGTTTGTTTGCTGTGCGCAAAAGAGCGTCAGGCTCCGTGTTTTGCTTATCTGCTGCGAAACTGATCGATTCCCCGGGTCACAACCTGCGCTTAAGAACGACCGACGACGCTCAAGAGAAAATGGTAAACTTGGATCAAGCTTCAGCCTCATGATTTGCCCACGTTCAAGAAAATTCATCATTCGACGGCAACCGCAAGAAAATGATCTGCGCATATTACACCGGGGGAGTGGCGGCGGGGAAAATGTGGTTCCTTACCCCCACGCTTTGGTGCACATGTCAGTCAAGACGATGGTGGGGCCGATGGTATTACAGTTGATGTCGTGCTTGGACCACTCCGCGCTCATCACCTTGATTCCACACGCGCGATGCGAAGAGCACAATCGAAGCCAGTGGGGGGACGTCCAGAAATTGTGCTGATGATTTCAACGCCACGTTTGTTTGCTGCTTCCCTGTAAATCCTGTGCCTCACGCTGCCTCATGTATCACAAACACGTGCGATACGACACCTTAGTGCTGTGCGAAACGGTTTAGATTGTCGTGGCACTATACCCGGCTCACTTTTGTGAGACCATTGATGGCCGCCTTGCTGGTGCAGTACGCAGCGTGGTCGTGCAGTGCGAAGCGAGACGCTGTACTTGAGGTGTTGACGATCTTTCCTCCCTTGCCGCGCGCGATCATCCTCTTGGCGCACTCCTGGGCCATGATGAAGGGCGCCCTAACGTTCACCTTCACGAAACGACCCACACACAAAAGAACGAACGTGAAGGTCCCTGTTGTATCCTACCTACCAGTGTACGCGTGAGTGTGGGTTCAGGCATGAACATCATAGGGAAGATCCTCTCACAAAGCAACAGGAAGTTCCTCGAGTACGGGCAAGAGATAGCCATTGTAGAGCATGCACCTTCTGCACAAAGGGTCTGACTAAAGCCTTGCCATGTCTGTCTTGGCATATCGTAGCACTAGATGCTTGTTCATGCGGCTCTCTGGGCGAAAACAAGTGTAAACAACTTAGGTATCACGCAGGAAGGGTCCTTCACGGCTACTGTTTCCGGTCCCTCTCCTATTTCTTACGTTCATGGTCCAGTCCCAGTCCTCGATGGTGGCCTCGAGAATGGGGGCTATAGTGGCCACGCCAGCTGCAACGAAGCGCGGACGAGGATAGCGCAGCACAGTTGGGGGCAAGTGGAACAGCACAATATCAACGCCAAGCGAGGAAGGGTCCATCTATGCCTCGCCAACAGCCCACAGCTTAACATCTACCGCAAACCAAGCAAAACAAGTTGTTCCATTTTCTTTGCGCTACAAGTATCCGAGTGCGGCCAGTGGCTAAGCCCACCTCCCATGCTATTCACATAGAGCGACCACCTGTTGGAGGACAACCAACTGGTGCATTCCGATCAATCGGTGAAGCTCACCGTTGTTGACGAGGATGTCCGCGCAACCGCCCGCCCAGTCATTTGCTTCGACGGCTGCTCGCCTGATGTCGTCCGTGCTGGACAGATCGATTGGAATGAAGTGGGTCTTGTCGACCGGCAGTTTCTTCTCCTCGAGAACAGGAAGGAGGCCGTCGAACTTTGACCGGCTCCTCGCGAGAACAGCGACGGAAGCACCTGCTCGGAGCTGGGGAAATCCCCGAGCCACGACGTATGAGGGGGTCAGACGTACACCAAAAACACAGGCAAGCAGTAGGAGGGATATATTGCTTGCGAAGAATAGGAGCTTCACTGTCTGTCGCGTTTTTTTATGAGCGGTCGGGTATTCTGCATTCGGTCTTAGACCACAAGCACAACCAAGCTGGCAAAGTCACCAACTGTAGTCCGTTGTTTTTCAAACAAACTTGTTCGCTCATGGGTAGATCGGAAAATGGTGTCACCAATGGCGTTCAGTTGGAATGGTAATACATCAGTGTACGTACACGAAATCCCGGCTCACCGAGTGTGTCTGACACTACTACTTGTACACCAGTTTAATAGCTTCTGCATCTAGCAATGGGAAGCGGGGCGCGTGCTTATGGTGCGTGGTTTACATAATGTAAATGTAAAATAGCGGCACCCTTGAACAGTTTCAACGCTCTCAAACGGTTGTCGCGATAGTTCATTGGTCGAGCTTTTTTTACCTAGACACGACAGACACAATACGAGCAATGATGTCACGCATTTTACATTCGTCTACGCCGTCTAGCGCCGCTATATACACCAGAAAACTTGACGACAGAGTGAGCCGACGACGATGAACGTTCTTGTTATGCCGCCTTACTCGAAGATAGCCAACGCGCCAGAGCGTAGCGTTGAACAGGTACACATATTGCTCCCTAGCTTTGTCGGTGTCCGATGAGTTGAACACGCAAATCATGATGAAACGAGAACACATCATCACCAGAACTCTGCTGCCTGCCGTGTCTGCATTATCTGTATTCACGTAAGATGGCTCCTTCGTCATGGACAACCGTAGTCTTGTACTACGACGACCCCTCTCACCAGTGCCTCGGTGATACTCGCACCAATGCCCGCGCTACCTCCTGTCACGATAGCCGCCTTGTCGGCTAGCATGTCGCACCTCCACGGGAACGGAGGTTCTTCCGGGGGCGCTCGGCCAGCCACCCCCCGACTTGAGAGCACCCGAAGTGGCCCGCGCAAAAAAATCTGCATCGGAGCCCGACCTATGATGGCCATGTTGCGGAAGGCCACAGAAAAACACCAAACCCTAGCCGGGGCCCCTATGTACAACCTCACGCAGCTTATGCCCGCTCCCCTTTAGTACCGGACAGAGGTGATTCTTGAAGGTGGTCGTATGCATGGACAGCAGCGGCGAACTTCCACACGCGCCGCTTGCATTCGTGGGGTTTCGAACTGACTCTATCTTGACAGTGGCGGGGGGGGGGGTATGAACTCCTGACGCTAGATCCAGAACTTGTTGGCTGCTGGACTGGAGCAGGGATGCACGAGCTCGTGCAACAACGACGGCAATAGGAGAGACTATAGGCAGTCCGTGCGCGTGGGTGGGTGCCTGCCAGCGTTTGCGCGGCTTTCCATCCAGGCTTCAACCGCGAGAAACGCGGTGTTCCTCTCCTGCACCCACTGCTGTGCGTGGTGTGCATGGTAAGAGCAAAGTGTTCGTTCTGAAGAAGGGACCGGTATTATGTGGTGGTCCGTTGCAACACCGCAACACCGAACGTCGAAATGTGGAATCCACCATTTGCGGGAGCTGATTAGCGGAGCAAGGTGCGAACTGCGAACTGCGAACTGCGAAAAAGTGATAGGGTAGAACCTGTTGGGTTTACTTGTTGAATATGTTCCCGCTCGGGGTGGTCTATGTGGCAGTTGTGCCGCACCGGCGGCTGATGTATGGGGCCAATGTACAGGCAGTATGCATATCTTCGATCTTCGAGGACACCAGGCGCCGCGCGGTAAGACTACTCTGTACATCTTGTGCATGACCCTCGTCCTGCTCACTCCTGGTAAGAATTTCAACATATGCCCACCCATTTCAAGACGACCCCCGGATGGGTAGCAGTTCTTCTGATGTATGATGTTATATATATACTTACAGGATGGTCGTCGTGACGTGACACATTTCTTGTTATTAGTATGGAAAAAAATAAAAAAAAAATGGCTGTGATAATTTTTTTCGTACAGCGGTATGGACCAGACGCCGACTGTACATAGAAGTTGGCGAGTGTCGACTGAGTTGTGTTGTGACGGCATCTTCCACGCACTTCTGCCAGTGCTGGTTTGTTGATTGGAGTCTTGTAGGTCGAGATACAGCAGTGGGATTCTCGGGTTGTGGAGGCAAAAGTGAACCAGAGCAAAAAATTTCATGCATAGCCATAGCTCGATTACTGCTGCTGTGTTTTTGCTACAGCAGTATGGACTAGACGCCGAACGACGTCCGCGTGCTACAAGTACCGCAACGACCTAACGGGATGGGATACTTCCTGCCACGGCGAACCATAGTACAATGCGATGCAAACATCCGTTCGTGTGTCGCGCGGCTGCCACATGTGTCGACGACAGGTACACGTAGAGCTCTCGCCATGTTGTCGTTACCGCGCAGGAGGACCCCTCGGAGATGTTCCACATGGTGCTACAACGACAGCAGTACTACTGTACATAGATGTCGTAGGAGAGTGGAGTTGTGCTGTCACGGCATCTCCCACGCACTCTCCTACCGGTGCTTGTGTCGATTGGAGTCTTGTAGGCCGAAATACAAGAGTGGGTTGGACTCTCGGGTTGTGGAAGCAAACCTGCCTGCAACAACAGAGAAGGCGGTGTTCTATTTACTATAATAGAGTATCCCGCTCAACTTTTTTTTTTTTTCGCGGCATGTCGTCGCATATTTCTATGCCACTGCCGAAAAAGACCGCTGGATCTTTTGCGCAGTAAATCTTTTGCATTTATCATTTTACACTGAACGACGCAGGACGGGTCGACCTTCATCGTTGTTGTTGTTGCTGTTGTCTCCACATTAAAAACCGTTCCGACGTCCTCCTCGATACTTGTGGACTACCTGTTGGAAATTGTGGGAATCCCTTCATTCTGAGAGAGAACCATAGGTCGCCATCCGGCCTTTTCTTTTTTTGTATGCACTTTTCTTCTTGTGAAGTCTTGACGTTGTGCGCTTGCCATCGTCGCCGCGTAAGTGTTTGTGTCTTCAAACCTTCTCAGCCGGCCTTCAAACTTCTTGTTGATAAGTCTCCGTGTGGTAACTTCTCCGCGCATGAGTCATATGCAGCTATGACCTGCGCTTTGACTTTCACGATGGGTATTTTACCTCCCCGTCTTGCGTTGGTGAGTACCTGCGGCGATATATATACAGAAGGATCGCTCCACGACGCAAACGTCGACGTCTCCGTTCTTTTTTTGTTCCCTTCGCACTCCATCCTTGCCGCGGTTTTCACCCCGAGTTCGAACGTGGGGTGCAATTTCCTCTCTTCGTACCTTCCTCGTCGGCCTTCTCCGTCGTTGTGTACATAATGTGTACCTCCATTTTTCGGCTTTTCGATTCCGACAGACAACACTACGGACTGACATGTTCCGTTCACCCCCGACGGGACCGCGCGCTCGTCGAGTGCCGAAATTCTTCATCACTTCCTTGCCTCTCCCAACACCGCGTGCCTTCTTCCCGCCTTTACAAATCCTCTCCCCTTCTTCTCCTTCTTTCCGTCCTCCCGGACATTCACCACCATCCGTCCTGGATGTTGGCCCACAGCCCCATTGGGGGGCGGGGGGCCAATCCTTAACCCTTGTTCATACTAATGTCAGTGCGGTTGCCTTTTCAGCAACAATACTTTGAATTTTCGGACCTGGGAGCAGTGTGGCATTAAAAAACTACGAAGCTCCTCTAGCATGTCTATGCATATATTTTGCACAGCCTGACTACCAAACTGCCTTGTTGGGCCTGTTAACCACAGGGCGCGATATATCGTTGTAGATATGTATGTGGTGCTCAGCTGCGACCCACCCGTAGAAACAGCAGTCAGTTTCCGCAACTGCTGAGAATCCATCGTTGCTACAACAGCAGAAAAAATGAAAAAAATTCGGTCCGGATTCTTTGTTCATCTTTGGTCGTGGAGACAAGTTCTTATGTTCTGCAGAATGGAACGAACCGTACTCCGAAGTGGATGGTTTGATATGTTGTGCGGGGGAGTACGAAAGTACTTCATGATACATGTATTCAGCAAGCAAGCATAGCTTGGGGATAGACACCCAAAAGAGTGAAGATTCGGGGAAGGATCTTTTGTACTGAGGTCACAACTCGTGATGTGAAGACAAAACACCAGCGACGGCAAAGTGTGTGATCTTGCACACAATGCGTCTATAGTAACGATGCGGACCTCCAATCCTAAACGCAGTCGTGATCTTGAAGAGAGGAAGGGGGGTAGCTGTGCTTCGAAAGTTCTCTAGCCTCGCTTAGTGAAGCCCGCGTGGAATTTTGACTGCTCGTTTAGCGGACGGACGAAGTAGTCCTCTTACTCGTCATGTACGACACTACTAGCCGAATCAACTGCTGCTGTACATTGTCGATCGGGCTTTGCACGGGTCTCGCTCCTTGCACGGTGTAACACGGCTCATCAGTCTCACAGTCGGTTAAAGAACTAGCTGAGCGTGTGAATACATCTTGGTTCTCCCACCTCACACTGGCATTTGGTTGTTAGACCATCGAGAGATACGTGACAGCAAAAGAGAGAACGGTCTCAACGTCGCACTCCGTCTGAACAACATACATGCCGTCCAGATCAAATGCAAAGGAAAAAGTCGTCCTTGTTGTCACGCCGGAAACCGTCGCCACGCCAGGAACAACACCGAAACGAAAAAGAAGTAGGAAATCGTGTGGCCCTGGATACGGGCGTGAGCTCGAGTTTCATCTCCACAGAAGCTAGAGCAGTAGAGCGTTTTGCAACCTGAGTTGTTCAAATGCCTTTCGGAGGACCATGTTCCGCTCGCTCCTACCCTTCTACCATCTGCCCCTGCTGGGCACGTACACACCAAGCCGATAGATGAGCAATCAATCTGCAAACAAACAACGCATGACCTCTGACCACGCCTGTGCGTTTGGGAACAAACACAAGCGACGCCTAGAGACCCCCATGTCCCACACAAGAGACGTCGAGTTAAGGGAAACACCCAACGCACTTTAGGCTACACGATGGCACCGCAACGACCACAACAGATAGCGGCTCATGTACACAATTCCATAGCGAGCGCAATTCTATTCAACACCGCTGCGAGACAAATTAAGCATCTACGGACCACCAAATGTTTGTAAGACACATCTAAGAGGCACAATCCCTTCCTCTGATGTCGACAGCGTCGGTTCGGGCGACTACGTTCCGCAGGGTGTACCGGTGGTGGTGATGCCACCGTCGAGGAGGAGCATTTGTCCGCACATCTGGCTGGAGGACGGGCTGACAAGGTACACCACGCCGTGTGCCATCTCCCAGGGCTCAGCGAAGCGGCCGAGAGGGGTGCGGTCGATCATGGGGTCGCCCTTCTCCGGCTCGCTGCGAGAAAGCATTATGATGAAGCACGTAGCAAGACAAGAGGGGACGCGGAGGGGGGAGCGTGGGGGACGAATACGTGAGAGCGAAGACGAAAAAAGGTGCATCACCATCCACAAGGCGAATACGGAGAACGCAGAGGGACCCGACTTAGCCAGTTTTTCAACTCCTGCACACACGGGTGGATAACTTCTTCAACACCTATGACTGGTCTACACGCAATGTTGGATGTCATGTCTTTCGTAAACTTTACGTAAAAAGCAGCGTGGTCATTCATGTATGAAGAGCGTGCGGTAAGCAAGTTGCTGTGGCAGTATCTCTTAGCTCCGAACTCGCACTCGGGGTGGTATATGCAACTGTCGTCAGCCTGTGTGCGTTGGCGGATAGCACGATGGTGCGTCTTGCAAAGGTTTCCCCAGTGCCACTCCTTCTGCAGCGCGATTTCTCACTCGTCTCTCCTCTCACCCAGCGTGTCAGGCGAACCAATCACACGCAAACAACGGAGAGCTCAACATTACGTTGACACCGTCTTGTCGTTGTGGTGTGCAGTACACAGATACCGTTGTATACACGAGAGAGGGGCGGGGGCAGGTTACGGCGACTCACCCCCACGCCTTGGCGCCCATGTCGGTCAAGACGATGGTGGGTCCGACGGTGTTGCAGTTGATGTCGTACTTGGACCACTCGGCGCTCATCACCTTGACCCCCAGTAACCAAACACAGCAAAAGGACGTACCGAGGGGGTGAGAAAAGAGGAAGGCGATGATGTGTGCAGGCACGCATCGTTTTGACTACAAGCAACCATTTACTGCACTCCGGCGTACACAGTTTATTTCATCAACTCATGCGTACCCATCTCAGCAGTAGTGGTTCAGCATAAAACAGCCAGAATGAAAAGAGCAGACCGAGGCCTATGAGCAGCATGCGGCGCCATTCTTGTATACGAAGATCTCGCTCCAGCACACCGTGCTCCGTCAACTTTATAAAGTGAGGCCACGACAACCAAAAACGAAGCTCCCCTCAAACACGAATAGAACCTCTACAGGCGCAAGGATCGATACTAAATGTCTCGAAACGGACAGATTGGATACAGTTTCACGAACCATATCGTCCATGACTACTTCTGCTACGGTGCCTGTTTCTCTCCATTTGATCTGCAGATACATTTCTACATGAAAACGCTGCACACCTACTGAGTACGGAGCGCTCTCGCGAAACACACCGAACGTGCTACACACCAAGGCCACATACCAGGCCATCACGAATAAATCGTACACGGGCACCTTACCTGTTGGGTATCTAGAAATGCCTCGTTGGATGCCCACTTCCCCTCCTGTTTCTCTCTAGCTTTCACTGTGGTCAATCCATGTCTGGCTCACCTTAGTGAGGCCTTGGATGGCGGCCTTGCTGGTGCAGTACGCCGCGTGGTCGTGCAGCGCGAAGAGGGACGCCGTGCTCGAGGTGCTGACGATCTTTCCTCCCTGGCCGCGCGCGATCATCCTCTTGGCGCATTCCTGGGCCATGATGAAGGGTGCCCTGACGTTCACCTGATGCACAAGAGAAAAGTGGGGAAAACAGTCAGATTGTCTCCTGCCACACTTCATGTTTTACCAATAGACTGTGAAAGAACACCTCCCTGGGAATCATTTTTCAGGTCTTCCGACATCGGTTTTGTTAACAAACTTCCCACTCTAGCCCCCGCAACTCTTCTCTGGGACTCCTTTGAATAGACCCAAGCCTGAACAATGGCAGGAAAACCAACACCGTGAGAATACGAAGCCCCCCCCCTGGTGAGGCTGTACCAAAACGTGAAGAACTGAACCGCCCCAAGCACAGCGGTATGTTCGAGCCTTTCAATAGTGCCATCCTCAACCGCCGTCTCATGAGCAACCACCGACCTTCGACGTTCGAGAGCTTATCACGCTGTGCGAGGGTTGGATGCTGGATGTATCACACCAATCGCAACATGAAAAAACTCAATAGGCCCTTCTGTCACAGGTATTTTGATCCCAGTTTACTCACGTTCATGGTCCAGTCCCAGTCTTCCACGGATGCTTCAAGGATTGGCGCGATGGTGGCCACACCAGCTGGAAAACGACCGCGCACGGGGGGGGGGGGGGGTTAGCATCGTGAACAAAAAATCATCCGTGTCAGGTGTCACGCAACCAAAGAAACATGAGTGATACATGGTTCCGTAGACAGGCCATGAAAACTAAAGAGGATCCAAGAGGTATTTTTCACGCTGTTGCGAGGTAGAAACTTGACAGCCCTCTGTGTATAAGCTTGCCCTAGTCCGTCAGATTTCGACTGAGGAATCGTTTGTCTCAGAAACTGTGCGGGATATTCCTAGATCCAGTCTTCGGGATACGATGAATTTGGCGAGCACGACGAGAAATTGGATATTGAAAATTGTCGCTCGAAAGCAAGCGAAAGGTAGAAGATGACGGTGGTTCTGAAGGGCGAAATCAAATCCTGCACATGCGCTGAGTTTAAAGAATCCAAGCGTTGGATCTGTCCAACGTTCAATTCAAGTGCCCCTAGGTGTCAACTCTGAATTTCAAACGGGCTTTACTATTTTGTACTCTGTTGTTATTATCGCGAGAAGGGCGAGCCGTCCCTTTTCCCCGTCGACCGCGAAGTCAAAACCGTCAACGCTCACGAATCAATCGTTTCCCACAGAATATTGCAGAGGCGGTCTCAGTCTAGAGAGAATTGAACTGCCTACTGTACTATAGATATTTAGCATGCTTACAAGGCTAACCGCAGACCACCGGGGCAGACCATGCTCCACATCAGGGTACCTACAGCAGTACCTCTCCAGTGTCATGTGGGAGGTTCAAGTTCAACCCTTATCCTCGGAAAATGCTGGGGGAGGCGGCAGGGAAGCCAAACACAACGAAATGCCAACATGGGTGTGAATTTGTGCGTGTGTGAGCGGGCGACCACTCCACCCAACTAGTCTAGTCCGTTACTCTGCTGTAAATATTTAGTAATGTTGTAGATCAACCTGCTATTATACAAGACAAGTAATGCATAGCAGACATGTGCATTCGCATATGCATATATATATGTACGAGGTTCACCATTACATACATCAACCACCGGGGCGACCGGCTTATTCCGGGAAATTTGGACACGGATTTTTTTCCTGAGGAAAAGCCCGGATTCTTGGTCCACGCTGAAGTTTAAAATACTGTGGGCGAGCGTCGGATGGAATGAGAAATCAGACCGGCGCCGCCACTCGTTGTTTTCGCGGGAAAAAGAAAAAAAAGTTGTACATATGCGCGCAGCAGACGGGAGGAGGAACCTAAAAGAAGCTTCGGAAGAACATCAGCCATGATGGTGCTCATCCCTGCATCGCACCTGAGGCCACTACGGCCCCGCAATGAGCTACCCACATCGGGTTGTCCTTTGCATGATAGTGACAAAGTGTGGCTAGCACTCGGGTGGCGGGCGGATGGACTGCTCAGCCGTTGCTTGTCTCGAGCTCTTCGCGTGGCTCGGAAAAAGAGCGGCACGTGCCCAGAACAACAACACTATCGAGCCCTCCCCAAAGGCGTGGTAGATTTAGACCGTGACGGTGAGCAGCATTCCGGGGGGATTCTACCCATGTCCTTACTGCGGGCCCTGAGCTGCGGCGTGGTCGATCCGCGCATTGCTGCCCATGGGGGCTGTGATTTGTATGATTGACTCACCGTTGTTGACCAGGATATCCGCACAGCCGCCGGCCCACTCGTTGGCCTCCACCGCTGCCTGCCGGATGGCATCCGTGCTCGACAGGTCGATGGAGATGAAGGTGGTCTTGTCGACCGGCAGCTTCCTCTCCTCCAGGAGGGGGACGAGCTTGTCGTACTTGGAGCGGCTCCTCGCAAGCACCGCCACGGAAGCCCCAGCCTGGAGCTGTGCGCGACAGAGAGAGAGAGAGAGAGAGAGAGAGAGAGAGAGAGAGAGAGAGAGACACACACACAGATAGGAACATGCGGTAGAGGAAGGAGGAAAACACGCAATGCTTAGAGTAGAACTCCCTCGACTGGACGAGGGTTCCACGTTCCACAACTCCCAAAGTTTGTTCGGATCGGCGTGGAACTCATGTACTACTCGGAGCATTATATTTATTTGATATTGCCCACCTCTATGGAATTTCGCCTTTGTTTTGCTAAGGATCCATATTCAAAAAGGCATAAAACTCGATCTATCTCTACCCGATTTCTAGGAAGTTGGTGAGGACGTACGTTGTTACTGGATGGGAAAAGTCACACGGGTTCGAGTCCTGGTGCTGTAAGTTTTTGTTTCCTGCCGTGCGCTTCATCTATTTTGTTAATCTCCCCGATTTTTCACCGAAAATCGGGCCAAAAATCAGTCCGCTGCCTCTTTCTCACCAAGGCAATTGTGATCGCGGCCCCGATGCCCGCGCTTCCGCCCGTGACAATGGCCGTCTTGCCTGCGAGCATGTCGCTCCGCCACGGGAAAGCCGGCTCCGCGGGTGCTGCTCTTCCAGTAGGCATGGTGTTTGGTACAGACGAGGCTTAAAGGACTTGGTTAGAAGAGAAGGAGAGGGAAGGGAGGCAGGGAGGAGTGAGTGTGGGAGGTGTGGGGTCTTGTTGTTTCTCGGATCGCGCGCATACAACCCGGGACATTGGGGAGCGGGCCAATACGGAAGATTAGTTGGTGGGTGATTTCAAAACAACACAACAGCAGCAGGCACAACACCCCGACAGGCCGACACTTCGGCGGAACTTCTTATTTTGTCGGGAAAACTGAGTCGAGAGGCCGGCACATTACATGCATAATAAAGTGCCATATCATAGACATAAAGAATGGTTGTTGCACTGCATGCGTATAGTGTCAACTTACGTACGTACGTGATGTATACCCAAGGTCCACCAGGGCAGTGTTGATCGACCAGTCAGCCTATTTCATTTTTCTTGCTGCATCGGTACATACAGCAGTAGAGACACAACACACGCATGAATGATTCTTCGCAGGATATCTTCGTCACAGACACACCAAAAGTGGCGCCGTTCTTATTGCGTGCCACCAACTTGGTTCCACACAGAATGCGTTCGACGAAAATGTCTACTCTGTAGGTTTGTGGTCACTGGATGTCTCACGAACTTCGTGCAGCAACGACGACATGTATCGAACCTCAAGGTGCCCTCGTCACACCCTGTCATGAGTGCATGCACTTTTGGACGGCTCACGTTTGCTTTTAGTGTTGTTTTGATGTTGTGGCGGCCACGTGTGTGTGCTCTTCTTGCTGCGTGTACACAAAATTGGTACCGCCTGCATTTTGTTCGCGCCACGCAGCATGCGTTGCGACGGAATTCCTACAGAGTTGAGGCCACCACATGTCGAACGAACTTTGTTGCAGCAAAGACAGCGTGTACTGCACCCTTGCGTGCTATCGTCACGCCCTGTCATGGATGCACCTCACGACGGTTCACGTTTGGTTTTGGTGTTGCGACCACATGCATGCGTGCGGCACCGATCACGAATGAATGAATAGTATATTATAGACTATCCGTCTACGGCATGTCGCTCTGCAACCCCGACTTCACTCCTTCCTGTCCTATCTACTGCTGTACTGTAGTGTACAATAACACCCAGTTTCGAACCGGCGTACAGATGCTGCCTGCAGCATGACCTTGTTGTAAACCCGCATAGAATTCACCCACGATTACAACCTCGAACATCACGTCTGTCTGCCCACACCCTTGCTGCGGTATTCATGACAATCTACTTTCTTCATACAATCTCCTCACAAAGAACAACTAACTGGCTCTATACAGCATTGCACGCCCGCCGGCCCTCTGTAAATACTTCGTGATACTTGTAGTGTACAACAACACGCAGCTTCGAACCGGTGTAGGGATATTGCCTGTAGAGTCCTTGCTAGAAACCCGAATGGAGTCCACCTACATTTATTTATGTGCAACCTCGAACATACATACATGGCGTCTGCTCACGTCTGCTCCGCGGTAATCATCATGACGATCTCCTGACAAAACACAATTTATTTACATTCACTGCCGCTGGCTCCGCTGGTTCCACAGCACTGTACGCCGGCCTTCAATCTGCCTTATTCGTAACTGTTCCTGCGCAGAGTCTGCATTATCCGTATTACTGCTGTTCTGTGACTACAATGTATAGTCTACTGCTTGACAGCATCCTCCGTGCGACAGCGGCTGAAGATTCTCTGAGACGGATCCTATTCGATAAAATTAGACCATCTGATCAGTCAACGTTGACTGATCAGATGATCTAATAGATCCATCACGTACGTACGTACATACATGTAAATCATGTGCTAATAACCTATCTACTCGCCACAACAAGTAAAATATTTGAATTCCCCGCTGTTGGCACTACAACACGTTCCGTAACCCCCGCCTATACTATGTACACCAGACCACCCGTTGCTTCTTCTTCTTCTTCTTCTGCCGTTCCACCTGTTGTTGTATCTTCTGCCGTCCTAAATACATCCATTATCGACCCACATTTTCATCCAAAAGTAAGTAGACTTGACATCCATTGTTCACTGTATGGCTCTGAAACACTGCCCGCCGGCCTTCAATGCGCGTATAGAAGACTTCGCGTCTGCGATATTTTGCATCAGATCCTTCGACATCTATCATCACAAATATCACACTGTCCAGACCTGGTGCTGCTGTAGACCAATCATGCCATGTAGGCTACATACATACCGAAACTCCGGAGTTTTCAGTTTTCCCCCCGGGGAGGGGATCATTTTTTTTTCTGAAACCAACCCCCCCGGGGGGGAATCGACGTACCGCGGAGGGTTAGTGTTTTTTTTTTCCAACGCTACCCCGGGGAGTTGTGCAACATAATGATGGTCCACACACCACACACATAGAGAGTGGCGAAACTGAG